CTGTTCTTCTCCAGGGTGCCGTTGATTTTCCCGCTGGCGTGGATCTGGAGGTGGTACTTGGTGGCACAGTAGAGCTTGCGGCGCCTGGGAGCTCCCCCGAGATGCTCATAGACCCCGCCGCGGCCCCCAGCATCTCTGCGCAGCCTTGGGTCGCACGTCTGGCCTTTCGCACAAGAAAGTGCCTGGGGCACCTCCGCCGCCAGCCCTGGGGACCAAGACTCCTGCAACAAACTCAGGAAGAAGAAGATCCAAATTATAACCATTGTGGCATGATGGCCGCAGCGCTGAGTCTGCTGGGGAGATCGCGCCCGGGAGCCAAGGACACCAGGGGTCCCATTAAAGAAGTCTTGCTAGCAGCACTCCACAGTTGCAAGGCGCGCACCGACTCCAGCCGCGAAGCATTGGCGAGCTCGGATCTGCCTCGATCTCGACCCTTTTTTTTCCCCTCTGCCTGAGATCTACTGAAGCCAGTAGCAACCAGCAAAGGCCACCGGAGAGTCCCAGCTGTTTGGAAAGGATGGAGCTGCAGTGATCAGAGTCCTCCTTGGGCTTCCAGATAGAAAGGCTGCATGCAGGAGAGAGGGGGGTGGGGGGGAGAGGGATTGGGGGGGGGGAGGACTAGGGAAATTTCGTTGATCGACAGAGCATAGAAATAAAAGAAGCTTCCTGCAACAATAGCCTGATCTGCGACCAATTGATACAAAGCAGAGGAGGCAAAGGTATCAGTCTTGTGTGAACTCCCAGAGTGCAGCATGGATAAAATTACACAGCATCTCTCTGTCACACACACACACACAAGCTGTGGCTTCTTGGGATAACCGCATCGCGGGATGGAGGGATTGGGGGGGGGAGCAGCAGCAGCCCTTGTGAGGGGCAGAGCATTGCTTCTGCCTCCACTCCCCTGCATCTGAAAGATCCGAGGAAAGGAATAATTATGCATATGAAAAATATACATTGAGGACCTCCATCCCTGGGGTCCCTCTCCATCCTAAGTCACAATACGTGAGAACTGGGATGACTGATGCCCAAATAAAACAACTGGGGGGAACCGCTTTTAAAAATGCACTTAAAAAAAAAAGTGGGGGCATGAGAAAGGACTTCCAGAGTCTGGCTGCTCACAGGAGGCTAAGAAGAACAACACCTATGGAAGAATTTGCCTGTCAGCCTTTAGTGATTTAAACTTCTGCCCTGCCTTTGTCCTGGATGCTGACAGAAACCAGTTATTAGTAAATCAATCAATTCCTGATTAGAAATATGCATGATGTGGAAGGGGGGGCCTGGCAACATGCACTCAGCTCTAAATATACCTTATGCAAAGTATCTTAGGCACCCAGCTGGAAACAAAGCATCAGCATTATCTACTTCCTTGCCAGTGGATATGCATGCAAGAAGTTAGAGATAATCTGTTTCTTTTTCTTGTTTTCTCTGGTCAGCTACACGAGATCTGGAGTCGCTTGTATGTAGCGCCACTAGATACACTCTCCCCTTCCCTCCCTCCCCGTCTCTTCTTGAGTCACCTATAGATCAACAGAGAAGACAAAAGATGAAACAACCGCTATAGAAATTAAATCGTCCTTGTGTGCTGCTCCAGCAGCTCGTTAATGAGATTTGCATCTGAAACAGTCAATAACAGTTTGGGGAAGTGTTGGAGAGATAATTAGTATTAATGTGCTTGAAGGGCACACGGCTCTACCTTTGAATGAAGCCATGTCAAACCCACAGCTTTTGACCCTGTACAATATATACTTTGCTTTTTTCAGCGCCATTGCCAAGACAATGTATATCTATAGACTATATCTGACAGTATATCTATGGCAATATACATCTCTATGTGGATGTGTATTCAAAAGACATTTCTACGTTGGAGGAAGGGATTTCCGTCCACTTTAAACCGATCTGGAAGAAAAGACTCTTTTACCGGTCGGAAAATAAGGGAAATGACCTTTTTTTCTACAAGGGATGGCAGGCGGGCAAAGGGATCTGGAAAAGTACTCCCTTTTAACTGTGCTTCAGACTAAAGGCTTTTCCTCTGGAATAAAAGGAAATACATAAAGAACCACAAACACCCCTCTCCCCCAACACCGCCCTCCCTCCTTGTTTTTCCACAAGTTACGTCCTAACCTCACAAGGAGAGTTTGATCTGAGAACTGATAGATGTTTGTATAATATGATACATATTTGGTGTCTATATTGTTGCATACGTGTGACAGTCAAACCCCCACTGCCAGAAAACAATAGCAACAGCCACAGCAGTGGAGACCCAGGCTGTTTAGTGATTGAGATATAATATCCATTCAACGTTTTGGGCAAGACACTAAACTTTCCAGATCCTCCAGCTCTCACAGAAACAACAGTCCCACTGGAATGAGCTTGTTCCTGAAGAAGTGCATGTAAAGGAGGTCCTTTGAATCCTTAGCCATCCCAAAACTAGAGGACAAAATGGGCAGTCGAAATACCACCCAGAAACTCGGGTGCTGAAGGAAATTGTCTGGAAGATATGTGCCTAGGGAGATAGCATACAAAGACAAGATGCATCACATTTAGGAGTCCTGATAATATCCGTATCTATAGAGCTAATCTTTAGGTGATCTTCAAACCCGGTGGGTCTTCCTACAGAAGTGAAATCGAGATTTTACAATTTTATATTTGCAAGGAGTTTTTTATTAGTACTCTGAAAAAAAAGAAGAAAAGAAAAAGGTTCTGTAAGATACTCCTTCCCTCCTACAATAGTAAACCAAAAAGGCTAGTGGGTGGAAGAGTAACACGTTAATGACTTTTGTTCAAATTGCTTCCATCTTGATCACATTGTGGTTACTATTTTCATAATTAACACCATCATCTACAAATCTTTCCGCCTTGGGCATCTAACACAGACAGGCTTCCCAAGCGATGTGTATTCTACTTATTAGGGAGGGGAACACTTCTGGATCTGTATCCATTAATGGTTCCCTTTCAAATGAAATGAATACGACCTCCAGCGAAATATCAAAGGGGTAGAGCTACCTTGTCTCACTTGGTGCAACATTGAATAGCAAGCAACTTTTAAGTCGTTTTGCGCTAGTCAGACATCTATACAATAAAACATAAGCCCACTCTTGTATATAGTAAGTTGTCTGGTGACCATTTTTTGAAAACAAAAAAGGTCCCTTTGATGTGGTCTAATTCTAACAGAGGGTGGGACGTCAGATGTGGTGTACCGATTCTTTCTGGAAATATTTTTAATTATGCCCCAAAGCTCCTTGTAGCCCCAAAGTAATAATCAGCGAGCAGTTTGAGTCTGTTACTTAATGTGGAAGGGAGAATAGGCTCTAGCCAGTATGCAGCTAAATTAGAATTACAACCTATAATGATCTATTAATTCACTTGAAATGCGTAATTGTAAGTGGGACATGTTAAGCATCTATTATTCTTTATGCTTGATCTTGTTAGCTAAATATTTCTAAGAGTTCTTCTATTTAAGTCATGCAGGCAGGATTTCCCCTAGAAAAAAAATGAGTATTTGAGAGAGGGGTTGTATTATTATTATTATCACTATTATTTCTTACTCGTGCCTCAATTGCAAAGCGGCATTTCTGCTCTCCATTTCTGACTCAGGAGCACAGAACCGCTTCTCAGTGCTCCCGACCAAATGCTGACTTATGGCATGAAGGCTGTCGAAATGGCACAGCCTGGAAACATTGAGCAAACCTCTGAAAAGAAAAGAAAAAAAAAATCCCCCAGCGTTTTTAAACCTGCTCGTCAGCTGCGCCCTGTTAATGCAGTTTACAAGCAGGTAGTTTGCATTGATTGAGGTTTACCATTGCAGCGATCTGCAGTACTTAAATCCTCTCCTTTAAGCACTGGATCCTACGTCCTGTACAGTACACATCACTCTTCTTTTAACACACGTCAGTGATTTACAATGAAGCCCTTAGTCTAATGCGAGAAGGAAGTTACAATTTGTAGAGCAATAAATACCAAGGCGGTAGGCGGAGCCCCCAGTAGAAAATTGCCCTCCCTTCCCAATTAAAAATCCATTCCAGTTCAAACATGGATCGTGGGAAGGGCTCAAAGAAAATATAGTGCAAGGGATTATTAGGTGTGTGTTTGCAACTGTGTTAATACTCCCCCTCCGTAGGATAGTGGGTTCACACCTGCTGCTGGTGGTGCTGAGGAAAGGGCATAGCATGCTAGTCGATATTATTCGACTATAGCTTGTTTTTCTTTGTGGTTTCCCCAGCGGGACAATTCTGCACCCTGTGAACAATACCCTCTTCTCTGAATGACTTTCCAGACCACACAGCATCTCAGTACCTTGTTCCCTGCATGTAGGCAATATTGCTCCTTATACAGTATACTGGCAACTTCAGAAAGCAAAGCCTTCTGGATGGTAACTGAATGCACCTTCTGAGTTGGAGAAGAGATATTAAGATTTCCTGTAGTGCAAATGTTAAGTAGATAAAAGACAGACATCAACATTTCCCTCTCTGATTCTGCTGTTAATTTTTTAGTTATTTTATAGGTATAAGCAATAATATAAGGTCTTCTCATTTAGGAAGAGAGAGTTAATTCTATAGTGACTATGTTAGCTATTGCTAGTTTACAGGGCAGAACCTTTAATCACATCAGTTTTAGATGGGTTACTGTGTCATTTATGTCTATAAGCTGCAGTGTTATATAGATTTGAGTGTTATAGTTAGTCTTTATAGTTATATTAATATTATTTAAAAACAAAAAACCTTGTTCCTTACTCAGGCAAATTTCTATTAAGATTAGCAAGATTTTGCCCGTGTAAAGACTGAGAGATGGATTTTAATGGGCCTGTTTTGAAGTCCACAGAATTAAATAAGTGGCTTTGCATTGATTTCAATGGATTTGGATCAGGCCCTATACCATGACAGAAAAATCAAGAACATTATCTGAGAACAGACAGAAAACAATCTCTTAATAGTGTATTGAGTTAAGGTATTCAAAACAAAAAATGAAATGCAACAACTTTAAGTTGATATAAAATTATTCTTTCCCCCCTCCCTTTTTATCACCTATTTCTTCTCAGCTTATAGGGAAAGGAACAAGTGAAAACAGAAATGCATAGATACAGAAAAACCCTGTTATCACAGAGTATACTTGTCTGTTTACGTATGTCATGTGGATTACTACAGATGAGTATGTGTCATAACACCGAACAGAACTAAAACAGATTAATGTAAAGCAATACAATAATACAAAGTACAATGGAAATAATTATATAAAAGGAATATGTACTTGTAGGGGCTGGGGGAGG